TGACTAAATAATGTTTTGTTGAATAACTTTTAATGTTAATTTACAGTTTATTCAATTTCCGTAGCCTATTTAAAACACGTTCATAATTTAGAAAATGTAGTTACTTGCATCATTAATGATTTATTTTATCCACCCGCGACCCACCCGCAAATAATCAGAACGCATTTTTTTTTTTTATTACCCGACCCACGGATTATCCGCAGCGCCCGCGGATATAACCGCCGTCCGCGCATCACTAATATATACATATATAGCCTTACTGTTGTCACATATCCCTGGTTAAATAAACATTACATTAAAAATGCAAAATGCAATTATATTTTGTATTTTTAAGTGTAATATTCTGTTTATCAAAACCAATAAATCTCATAAAGTTAGCGTTTTCACATATTTTTACATTTATTCCAAAATAATAACAAGGCAGTAACAATACAAACAATATATTTTATTTGTCAACTGATGTTCAGCTGTTCTTTAACTTTACCAGCGGGTGTCGCTGTTGGACAGTTACTTTATAAAAACTAGTGACTTTTACACTTAAAATACTTGCGTGGTTTTATTTGTAATATCGATAATTTTCTCATCCATTTTTTTTCTCTAAAGAGACTCTGCCTCCTTTGCCTTGACCGATGGCAGAAGCCGTACAACACAAACATCAGAAATTCATTCATCTTCAATTATGATCCTTGCGACTTTGAGGTTATTTTGGCAGGTTATTTTATATTCATTTCATGCATGCAAATTAAAACTGATGAATGGAAATTGGGCAGTTCAATTAAGTATAGAATTTTTGTAACGGCTACAAAAATGTGGGAATGTTTTTGTATTACAATTTGTATAGCCACAGTTTTACTACAAATAGCATGCTTAAACTATGGTGTGTGCAGCAAAACGTTTTAACTAATAACCTTTATTTGTTGCAAAACCATGTGTAATATTCGTAAGTTTTGTTGCAAACAATTTTTACTGTTATTTTATAATGAAACCGTAGTAATACATTTATAATTTACAGAAAGCATTCATTGTTAGAAAAGAATTTATTGTAATGTAAATGCTCTACAAGTTTGAGGCATTAATTGTAACATTAGTATATACACCAAATATTTTGACCATACTTCTTTCACAGCAGGAAAACATTTTCTGAGACACCAGGGGCCGGTTGCAGCAGCTAGACATAACGCTGGGTGTGAGCCCTACGCTGGGCTTTGCAACGTCCAGCTTTACCATAAATATTTACACCTGTTGCACCAACTGAAACTACCATCAGGCGCAGCTACGCCACGCCGACACAATCTCCCGCAGTTATAGATATAGCTGAGACGACGTTCACGCCGCAATGGCTACAACTACTAATATAGAACTGAACTGCTCAAGACATCAATATAATATTTGACTGCATAATTACTACATGCTTGACAGAAATAGATTTTGTATTCAATGTCGACAGTGTGGTAGGCCTACACAGAGCTTCGCGATGGATATCGCTTATCCTGCCCGAAAACACCATAAACATAGCAGTTCACCGCTGCTAACAGACATGAATACTAAAAATGAATAATGTCCGAGCAAATCATGACTTTTCACTTTAGACCTACCTCTGACTAGGAGTAAGATTTAGTCTCAGACGTAGCACTACGCCGAGATGGTGCAACCAACCGGCCCCAGGACCGCAGCGGACTGGTGCTGTAACAAATTGAAATGGATTTTATTTTATTTTTTAATTTATAATGCATACCAACAAGCAGATGAGCACCAAATTAAATCCCTACACAAAGCTGCGTGGGCAGAAAGTTCTCCAGCGGAACAGTTCACTTCTTCCCGGTTTGTGAACAGATGGGACTGTAAGAAGCTCTGCACAGAACTTGTGGATAAACACACGTGGGCTACGGTCGGGCTAAGAATTTTTCATCCTTCAGGATCCAACAGTTCACTGTATACGGGTAAAAAAAAAAAAAAAAAAAAAAATTACCTTTTTTGCCATTTCAGAAAGCATCAGAAAGTCATTCTATAATCATTGTCAGCCTCTGCTGTTTGTACTGTAAAACTATAGTACTTTGTCTATTGAGAGAGATATATATATATATATCCTAGACATAAAAAGTATGGAAAACAAAACATGACAAAAACAGGCTACTGCAAGTTAAATTAAAGTGTACAGAAAACTAAAATAAAATGAGATGTAAAATATTGAACCACTATAAATGTGTATTGTACCTTTTATTATTAATTGTTGTCATTTTTATTAATTGTTGTTGTTACTTTATTAGGTTTGAGTTATTTTAATTTTATTGATAAATGTGGCCTTGTCAACCATTTTAAATGAAAAAAAAAGTTAAACCATTTATAATTTATTTTATTTCCGTAACGTCTATTGTAGAGTAACAAATTTGTTTTAAATTTGAGTGGTTAATTAACAGTAGCCTATAATAACCCTCCTGCAAACAACAATATATTGTATTTGAATTTTTTTTTTTTTACAGATAAAACGGAATAAACTGGTTCTTAATCCCTTATAGACCTAGGCCTATATATCACCAAACCAGCCACAATGCAAAACACAGATAAACCGAAATAGCGCATCTCTCAGTCTCTCACACACACACACTTTGTCAAACGAGGTCAGTTACAATCCAGAACACACAGAAATCAAGAGGTGACACCACAACACATCCAGTATGAATTAACACACACAAACCCCACCCCACAAGCCCACAAAAACTGAGATGGAAAGTTGTGGTCTGTTAGATAATTTGTTGTAATAATAATAATAATAATAATAATAATAATAATAATAATAATAATAATAATAATAATAATAATAATAATAATAATAATAATAATAATAATAATAATAATAATAATAATAATAATAATAATAATAATAATAATAATAATAATATTGTGGGAACTTTGCATTTAAAAAAA